CTTCAATGTAAATGTGCTTACATATCCTTCCAATAATAATAAAGGGAGTAAAATAATAAATGTAATAACAATAATAAATAGAGTAAAATAATAAATGTTATAATAACAATAAAGAGTAGAATAATAAATGTCATAATAATAATAAATAGAGTAAAATAATGTTATAATAACAATAAAGAGTAAAATAATAAATGTAATAATAGTAATAAATAGAGTAAATAATAAATGTTATAATAACAATAAAGAGTAAAACAATAAATGTAATAATAATAAATAAAGTAAAATAATAAATGCAATAAAAATAATACTAATAACAGAGTAAAATAGTAAATAACATTGACTCGAGTATAAGCCGAGGGGAGATTTTTCAGCCTAAAAAGGGGCTGAAAAACCAGGCTTATACTCAAGTATATACAGTATGTTGCTCTGAAACTGGCTTTGTTTGGAGGCTGAAGAAGAGGCTGTGGGTCTCTTTTTTTTCCTGCTGGGACTGGGCAGAGTCACAGGTCTCTGTTACAGTGAGTCAGCAGTCGGGTTTTGGATTTCAGTGCCAAAAGCCTGGTGAGCTGGGAAGGGAACGGAATCCATCTCTGGTTCTGGGAGCTCTCCTTACACATTTATCAAGGAGGATTCAGATTAACTTGAAGGGAGATTGGATTTTCCTTTCAGGTCCTTCTGAACTTCAAAGCCAAGCAGGACTGGCCCCTGAATAAGTATTTGAATGAGCAATCAGCAATGAATTCCAGGTGCTGTCGTTTATATTTCTGAGCAAAACCACCTGCGTATTACCGTATATACTCGAGTATAAGCCGACCCGAATATAAGCCAAGGCACCTAATTTTACCACAAAAAAAACTGGGAAAATGTATTGACTCGAGTATAAGCCGAGGGTGGGAAATGCAGCAGCTACTGGTAAATTTCAAAATAAAAATAGATATGAATAAAATTACATTAATTGAGGCATTTGTAGGATAAATGTTTTCGAATATTTACATAAAACCGTAATTTAAGATAAGACTGTCCAACTCTGATTAAACCATTATTTTAATCTTCTTCAATGTAAATGTGCCTACATATCCTTCCAATAATAATAAAGAGAGCAAAATAATAAATGTGATAAAAATAACTGAGTAAAATAATGTAAATGTAATAATAATAATAATAATAAATAGAATAAAATAATAAATGTAATCAAAACAGTAATATATAGAGTAAAATAATAAATTTAATATAATAATAGAGTAAAAGAATGTAAATGTAATAACAGAGTAAGGTAATCTATATAAATAAAAATGTAATGTTCATTTGTGGGATTAACAGAACTCAAAAACCACTGGACAAATTGGCACCAAATTTGGACACAAGACACCTAACAACCCAATGTATGTCCTTCACTAAAAAAACTTGATTTTGTCATTTGGGAGTTGTAGTTGCTGGGATTTATAGTTCACCTACAATCAAAGAACATTCTGAACCCCACCAACGATGGAATTGAACCAAACTTGGCACACAGAACTCCCATGACCAACAGAAAATCCTGGAAGGGTTTGGTGGACAGTGTCCTTTGGGTTTGGAGTTATAGTTCACCTACATCCAGAGATCACTGTGGACTCAAACAATGATGGATCTGGACCAAACTCTACAAGAATACTCAATATGCCCAAATGTGAACACTGGAGGAGTTTGGGGGAAATAGAATCTTGACATTTGGGAGTTGTAGTTGCTGGGATGTATAGTTCACTTACAATCACAGAATATTCTGAACCCCACCAACGATAGAATTGGGCCAAACTTGGCACACAGAACCCCCATGTGGGCCACAGCAACGTATGGCAGGGGACGGCTAGTAAATTTAATAAAAATACTTATAACAGAATACAATAATAAATAACCTTGACTTGTGTATAAGCCGAAGGGAGCTTTTTCAGCCTAAAAAGGAACTGAAAAACCAGGCTTATACTCGAGGATATACAGTACTTGTCTGAGAAAATGCTTTGAAATTCATGTAGTTGCCATAAATTGACAAGCATTTGGAAGACACACTTGCTGTATTAAATGGAGCCTATTGGATATCTGTCATGTTAGCCCTATAAGGGTTGCATAGGTGACTTGTTCTGCTTTAGGTCCTTTGTGTTGAAAATATATTTTCCTCTGGTGGTAATACAATCCCTCTAGATCAGACCAACGGCTGTGTATTCTGCAAACTATCAAATGGCCTGGCACTTTTGATTTTCTAAGCTCGGCTCACGATGCTCACGATATCTGACAAGACAGGCGCTGCTTTGAATATCTGGAGAACAGAGGCTGGTCAGCCTTGACTTTCTCTGGGGGCAAATAAAGGCAAAGGGCACCTGGCCCAGGTGGCCATGTCTTGCTTGGATATGGCAACTTTTGAGTCGGCTTTTGTTTTTGCAATGCTGTCGATCCTGCCTATATTTTTCCATTTCTGCTGGAGAGCGCCTGAAGGATGATGCAAAGAGGAAACAAAATAGTGGATAGTGGAGATTCTTGCAAGGAGAAATGACAAGCAAGGTGTAAGTCAGAGTTCGAGGATACCATTGGAAGGAGTTCAGCTGATGGAGTTAAGGGATTGAGTGGTCCCCTTTGACATATTCAGGTGATCTACCTATATGAGACTGGTCTTGGCATCCTTTAGTTGCTGTTTTCTGTGCTGCTGTCGATGGCATTTATTATTTATTTATTTACGACATTTATATGCCGCCCTTCTCACCCCGAAGGGGACTCAGAGCGGCTTACAAGGTATATATTACATACAATGTATTATATTATTAGCATAGTACAATATCAGCATTAAACATTGCTATATTACACCATACCACTATATTGTAATAATATTAGTAATATTACTATTTCTTTATTTTTATTTACTTTATTTGTATACTGCTCTTCTCAGCCCTTAGGCGACTCAGGGCGGTTAACAACAGAGTTTCAATATACATAGTACAAAATCACTGGACATATTACATGTAATATAAATATATAATTATAATATATTATTATTATATTGCATTACATTATAATGTTAAAAATATTATATGTATATACAATATATTACCGTATATACTCGAGTATAAGCCGACCCGACTATAAGCCGAGGCACCTGATTTTACCACAAAAAACTGGGAAAACCTATTATCTCGAGTATAAGCTGAGGATGGGAAATGCAGCAGCTATGGGTCAGTTTCAAAATAAAAATAGATGAGGCATCAGTAGATTGACTGTTTATTAATATTTACTGTAAGATAAGACTTTCCAACTCTGACTAAACCATTATTCTAACCTTCTTCAATGTATATGTGTTTACATATCCTTCCAATAATAATAGAGTAAAATAATAAATGTAATAATAAAAATAGTAAAGCTAACCTATAAATGTAATAATAATAATCAAGAAAAATAATAAATGTAATAATAATAAAAATAATAAAGCTAACCTATAAATGTAATAATAATCATAGAATAAAATAATAAATGTAATAATAAAAATAATAAAGCTAACCTATAAATGTAGTAATAATAATAATAATAATAATAATAATAATAATAAAGTAAAATAATCAGTAACCTTGACTCGAGTATAAGCTGAGGGGAGCTTTTTCAGCCTTAAAAAAGGGCTGAAAAACTAGGCTTATACTAGAGTATATACAGTATATTATATTATTAGAATAGCACAGGAGACAAGGTGGAACTGTCCCCTGGCCCCCTCTCTCTTCACGCTGGCCCAGAGTAACAGTAGGTGCTGGGGAGAGGGATCTCCAGCTGGTGGCATATGGAACCCTATACGGTTCCGGCCCAGCGTATCTGTCCGAACGGATCTCCCTCTATGTCCCGCCTCAGAGTTTAAGATCTTCTGGGGAGGCCCTGCTCTCGGTCCTGCCTCTATCACAAGTGAGATTGGCGGGGACGAGGAGCAGGGCCTTCTCGGTGGTGGCCCCTCACCTGTGGAATTCTCTCCCTGAGGAAATTAGATCAGCGACATCCCTCCTCTCCTTTAGAAGGAAATTAAAAACATGGATTTGGGTCCAGGCGTTTGGGCAATCTGGCAGATGAATAAAGGACTATGACGACCGATAAGAATAGATAATGTAGAACGAAATATGGACTCTGAGTTGGCGAACGCTGAGCTTCAGATTGGTTTATTGACTGTGATATGTATTGATAGTTTTAACTGTCTTAATTGCTTTAATTGCTGTTTTACACGTTTATTTGTATTATTGTGTAGGCATCGAATTGTGCCTTTTTGTAAGCCGCCCTGAGTCCCCCCTCGGGGGTTGAGAAGGGTGGGGTAGAAGTACACGAAATAAAATAAATAAATAAGTAATGGTATTTGGGCATAGCTTGGGAATTGGAAGGCTTGTTTCAGTGCAGCTGAGTTGAGAAAAGCAGGAATAGAATGCTGAATGAGGGGCAAGGTAGGCTGCCAATGTATAGGAACATCTTCTGGATGGATCTTGAAAGGGAAAGGACTGCACCCATTTTACTCTTCCTGAATTTGGCTTGGAGTGCCCTCCTTTCCTCCGCCTTCCCTTTCAGGATCCATTTCTACAAGATCCTCATGGCTGCAGACCTGAGAATGTACTAGCAGCAAGGAATGGGCTTTTCAACCTCTGATGGGCCTTTCTAATGTGGTTGTTGTAGGTTTTTTTCAGGCTATATGGCCATGTTCTAGAGGCATTCTCTCCTGACGTTTTGCCTGTATCTATGGCAAGCATCCTCAGAGGTAGTGAGGTCTGTTGGAACTAGGAAAATGGGTTTATATATCTGTGGAATGACTAGATGCAGTTGGCAATTTGCTTTGGTTCGTTAGATCACAAGTTGTAATGGGCTCAGGTGATAAGGAGATAAGGAAGCCACCCAGGCCTTGGCACCTCATTTCAGCATCCCTCACTAGGGAGTTGGTGAGAGATGCCGAGAGGCTTGGCCAAGAAGAGAGCCACAACCCAGTAATTACCATTTTTTCTCTCTTTCTCTTTTTCCAGGCTGACCAGCTTACCGAAGAGCAGATTGCAGGTGAGTCCTCCAGGTGCAGTGAAGCAGTAAATACAGAATGGCTCCATATCCGTGGGATTATGTTCCTGACTTTACCGTGGAAACTCTTGATAATAGTGAGCCCTATTGAAAGGAAGGGCTTTTAACTGGAAGAATCTAGAAAATTCCTAGAGGTATAATTAATAATAATAATGATAATAATAATAATAATAATAATCACACAGTCCTAAACACTTGGGAAGTGTTCGACTTGTGATTTTGTGATAAGAAATTGAGCATATATCTCTCATTGGCTGTGTTATACTGTGTTTTTGTGTCAGTAAAATAATAATAATAATAACTTCAATAATAACTTTAATAATAATAATAATAATAATAATAATAATAATAATAATAATAATAAATAAAATGATAAAAGGTCTGGAGAACAAGCCCTATGAGAAGCGGCTTAAGGAGCTGGGCATGTTTAGCCTGAAGAAGAGAAGGCTGAGAGGGGATATGATAGCCATGTATAAATACGTGAGAGGAAGCCACAGGGAGGAGGGAGCAAGCTTGTTTTCTGCTTCCCTGGAGACTAGGACGCAATGGAACAATGGCTTCAAACTACAAGAGAGGAGATTCCATCTGAACACGAGGAAGAACTTCCTGACACTGAGAGCTGAGACTGGATGGCCCATGAGGTCTCTTCCAACTCTTTGATTCTATGATTCTATATCCCGCCACCATCTTGGGTGGCTTATAAGCAGGACCAAGCCCAATACAACAGAGTTTGTGACTAAAAACACATTTAAAACATAATAAACATATAACAATCTGATTAACAATTTAAAAACAACAGAGTATAAAAACAGCCGTGAAATGAACCAAAACAAATCTCTGAGGATGCGTGCCATAGATGCAGGCGAAACGTCAGGAGAGAATGCCTCTAGAACATGGCTATATAGCCCAAAAAAACCTTCAACAACCCAGTTATTTCGGCCATGAAAGCCTTCGACAATACACAAATTGTTTATTTACAATACTAAGAAATAACTGTATTTCTTAATGACCAAGAACTGGGTCTGAGCTACTCTTAACACCCATCTCTTCTAAGGTTTCAAGAGAGGGGGGAAACACACCAATCACTACATCCCTTTTGACACACAAGCAGAGAGAGATCTCAAAGCACACAGCGCATACTCTCCATACTAAACTATAAGAAGGCAGAGATCAGGTTCAAAAAGCTTGCAGTAGAAAAGTATCCCATTTAAAACAACCAAAGGGTTTCATGGTCGAAATCACTTGGTTGTAGGTTTTTTCGGACTATATGACCATATTCTAGAAGCATTCTCTCCTGAGGTTTCGCTTGCATCTATGGCAGGCGTCTTCAGAGGTTGTGAGGTCTGTTGGAAATTAGGAAAATTGGATTTATATATCTGTGGAGTAATACCCAGGAAGGGAGAAAGAACTCTTGTCTTTTGGAGGTAGGTGTGAATGTTTCAGTTTTCCACCTTGATTAGCATTTGATGGCCTGACAGTTTTCAGGTGTGTCTTGTTAGTGCCTAGGGGAATCCTTTGTTGAGGGGTGATTAGCTATCCCTGATTGTTTCTTGTCTGGAGTTCTCCTGCGTTTGAGTGTTGTTCTTTATTTGCTGTTATAACACAGGGGAACTCCGGGCAAGAAACTATCGGGGACAACTAATCACCTCTCAACAAAGGATTCCCCAGGCGCTAACAAGCCACACCTGAAAACTGTCAGGCCATCAATTATTATTATTTATTATTTGGTTTACTTCTACCCTGCCCTTCTCACCCCGAAGAGGACTCAGGGCGGCTTACAAAAACAAGGCACAATTCGATGCCCGTATCATACAAAAGTAATAAAACAAAATAAAACAGTAATAGAACAAAATAACATACATTAACAATCAGACCACAATTATACATTACATCTATAAACCGATAAAACCAATAAGACCAATAAAAATCCATACAAACCAATACAAACCAATTACTCCTTATTGCCGGTCAACGTTCGCTATCTCATAGTTCATATACCAATTCCACAATTGTCAGTCCTGTCATTCCTATTCGTCTGGTTGTCTTTATCTAGTTAGCAGATTGCCCGAAGGCCTGGTCTCACAACCATGTCTTTACCTTCCTCCTGAAGGAAAGGAGGGATGTTGATGCCCTAATTTCCCCCGGGAGTGAGTTCCACAGGTGAGGGGCCACCACTGAGAAGGCCCTGCTCCTTGTCCCCACCAACCTCACTTGGGATAGTGGTGGGGTCGAGAGCAGGGCCCCCTCAGATGATCTCAAATTCCAGGATGGGACGTAGAGGGAGATATGTTTGGACAGATACACTGGACTAATCAAGGTGCTAATCAAGGTGGGCAATGGAAACATTCACACCTAGCTCCAACAGACACCCTGGATTTTCCACAGATAATATAAACCCAATTTTCCTAATTTCCAACAGACCTTACAACCTCTGAGGATGCCTGCCATAGATGCAGGCAAAACGTCAGCAGAGAATGCTTCTGGAACATGGCCATATGTCCCAGAAAACCTACAACAATTCAGAGAACAAATAGATACATGCTCAACTGTCATACAGGAGACATGTGGAAAGGGAAACCCTTAGACTCTTCTAATGCTAACTAACTTCTCCTCATTGAGGACTTGAGACTTGGGCAGTGTGGGGTTGAATTCCAACAGCAGGATGGGGAGAAGGCCTTGTTTTCCTAGCTTTTGTAGAAATCTATGCAAAAGGCTGGGGGGAAAAATCAAACAACCCAGCTATGTGTAGCAAAATCTCACAAGACTTCTCCTGGTTTTGACTGTTTCTTGTTTTGGGGACTAACTTGTCAAGATGCATTAATTTGTGAAGTGCTCTAACTACTGGTGTCATGTGGTTGAGTTCGGCGTCGCTCTTTAACGTTGCCGTTTCTCCCTCCCAGAATTCAAGGAGGCCTTCTCCCTCTTTGACAAGGACGGGGATGGCACCATCACCACCAAGGAACTTGGCACCGTGATGCGGTCCTTGGGGCAGAACCCCACGGAGGCCGAACTTCAGGATATGATCAACGAGGTGGATGCTGACGGTAGGCGCCTGCACGGCCTTGTCTTGGGATTAACTGCGCTCCAGAGCAGGCGTGGGCAAACTTCATCCCTCCATGTGTTTTGGATGTCAACTCCCACATTCCTAACAGCCGGAATTGTGGGAGTTTAAAAAGTCCTCAGACTTTGTAAACAGAGGGCCAGTTCACAGTCCCTCAAACTGTTGGAGGGCCGGATTATATATTTTTTAAAAAAGCATGAATGAATTCCTATGCACACTGCGCATATCTTATTTGTAGTGCCGGCAGGACTGAAGACCAACAGGTCGCAGGTTTGAATCTGGGGAGAGGCGGATGAGCTCCCTCTACCAGCTCCAGCTCCTCATGCGGGGACATAAGAGAAGCCTCCCACAAGGATGATAAAACATCAAATCATCCGGGCGTCCCCTGGGCAAAGTCCTTGCAGACGGCCAATTCTCTCACACCAGAAGCGAATTGCAGTTTCTCAAGTCTCTCCTGACACGACAAAAAAAGTGCAAAAAACACTTAAAAACAATTCTAAGGTCCCTCCTACACCTCAAACTAAGGCCCGGGGGACGTATGCGGCCCTTCAAGGTCATTTACCTGGCCCTCGCTCAGGGTCAACCTAAGTCTGAAATGACTTGAAAGCACACAACAACAATCCTATCTCATCATCCAAAAGCAGGCCCACACTTCCCTTTGAAATACTAACAAGTTTATATTTCTTAAAATTGTTATTCATTTTAATTATTGTATTGTTTTTAAGTGGTTTTTTTTTTTGCACTACATATATGATATGTAAAGTATTCATAGGAATTAATTCATGTATTTTTCAAATTATAATCTGGCCCTCCAACTGTTTGAGGGACTGTGATCTGGCCCTCTGTTTAAAACGTGTGTATTAGAAGATCAATGCTGGCTTTGTCAATGGTCTGGGTTTGAATCCAGGGTGGGCCTCACAGCTTAAAATGGGCAGAGTTGGGGAAAGGGCCAAGTTGAGCCCGCTTCTTCAATGGATTCTTTGGTTTCCACTGGTTTCCTCTTACCATTGCTGGTTAACCCTTTTCAGGGAATGGCACCATTGACTTCCCAGAGTTCTTGACCATGATGGCCAGGAAAATGAAGGACACGGACAGTGAGGAGGAGATCCGGGAGGCGTTCCGAGTGTTTGACAAGGTGAGGCGGTGGAGGAGGATGGCTGGCCATCTTTGGGGGCGGGAGGAGAGAACGCAAGCCCTGCCCTTCCAGTCTAAAATGGAGGAGGCATCTATTCTGGAGCATGCAAGACAGGGAAGGGAAGGTCTTCTGCTAGGACCTGGCTTAGGAACTATGTCAACTATGCATCTCCTCCGCTTTCAGGATGGGAACGGCTACATCAGTGCGGCTGAGCTACGCCACGTGATGACAAACTTAGGGGAGAAACTCACTGACGAGGAGGTGGACGAAATGATACGGGAGGCAGATATCGACGGGGACGGGCAGGTCAACTATGAAGGTGAGTCAGGGAGGGATGGGCCTCATTGAGTCATACACATTGGACAGCGTAGGCCACAAGGCTCCATAAATTGCCATCTACCAGGGCAACCTGTTCATCTAATAGTGCTTACTTACTTAGGCAATCCTTCGTTGGCCAAGTAGGTTAGTCTTCCAGGATCAGTATTCTGGTTGTTCTGTAGGTGACTGTGGAGCCCTATTCTTGATCTGCATCGTCTCCCACAGTGAGGGCATTGGTTTCCAGGTGGAAGGCGGTCTCAGTCGAGGTTGGCTTGACGCACCTTCCTCTTGGCCCGTTTCTCTCTTTCACCCTCCATTCGTGCCTCTTCAAATTCTGCAGGGCCGCAAGGACGAAAATCTGGTCCACGAGTCTCCTTCCTTTTTATTTTATTTCCGTTCCTTTTGCACCGCCTGCCACTGTTTGTGACCAGCCCCACTCCCTTGGATAGACCACATCAGCTCTAGATTATTAAATATGGTTTTCTGTAGGCGAGCAGATGGCAACTACTGGATGGCATATGTTCTGTATCAAAACCTAGAGCTGATGTGGACTATCCAATGCAATGTTCTGAATCAGCACCCCAAATAACCAAACCAAATCTAATGTTGACCCAAAACTGATTCATAACCCTTTTGGTCCTAATGTTGGAGAGTGTTCCCTGGTCAAAAAAAAAAAAAAGGTTGGGAACCACTGCTTTAGGAGTATCTTCTTGTTTACGTATTGGTCATATATTCTTCATTAAGGATGAAGGAAGTATGTATGAACAAACACTTGGTGGGACAGAGGGATAAATCCTCCTGAGATCTCTCCAATCAAAGGCTTTCTAAGGTCTCTCCTACACCTCCATATAATCCAGTTCAAAGCAGATAATCTGGATTTTATATAGCAGTGTAGATGTCTGCAGTTTATATTCAGTCAACTTGTATATTGTTGAAGGCTTTCATGGCTGGAATCACTGGGTTGTAGGTTTTTTCGGACTATATGGCCATGTCCTAGAGGCGTTCTCTCACTACCTCTGAGGATGCTTGCCATAGATGCTGGAGAGAACGCCTCTAGAACATGGCCATATAGCCTGAAAAAACCTACAACAACCCAACTTGTGTATTGTTTTAATCATATGTAATTCTGTTTTATGTGTGGCACCTTGAGTGCTTTGTTTGCTACCCCAAGTCCCTTCAGGGAGATGGTGGTGGGGTACAAATAAAGTTTTATTATATTTATTATTAAGGGGCTTAAGAAAGGATGGAGCAAACAGGCTTAGGCTTAAAGCATGTGGCCTTATGTCAGTAATTCTCAACCTGAGGGTCCCCAGATGTGTTGGCCTACAACTCCCAGAAATCCCAGCCATTTTGCCAGCTGTTAGGATTTCTGAAAGTTGAAGGCCAAAACATCTGAAGATCCACAGTTTGAGAACCACTGCCTTACGTGGTTGATACCTGGGAAGATTCCCTCACTACTTCGCGGTTCGCTTTTCGCGGACTCATGATGGAGTGTGGAGTGGGGTTTAACCTCCCCTTCAGGAGAGAGGCAGCCAATCATTAAAAAAGAGAGATAGGAGATACAAAGCAGTATGTAAATCACGGCCTTATAGCCCCTTCCTTATAGCTACCAAAAAAAGGGGGGTGCGGTGCCTTTAAATCTCTCCTCGCTTCTGCCTCACCCTCAGAAAATACACACACACACACACACACACATTAGGGTTGCATGAAAAATACCTCCACCTTCATAACTCCTCAACAGATGGCAGTACTGGCTTGTTCAGGAGACTCTCCTCTACAGTTCCATTTGGGCGGGAAGCCTTAGCATTGAACAGTTGTGTTGTTAAAGTGCGAAGTATGGAACCCTGCGCAGATCGGTCGGTCAATGCGACTTAAGCAACGTGCAGTCATTGAATTCTTGACAGCAGAAGGTGTCACCTCAACATCTTTAAACTTACTTGCCCAATGTTGCACAGTACTCACACCAACACAATCATCATAAACAGCTTGCATTCTCTGATGAATCTCCTTTGGGGTGACACCTTTTGCTGTCAAGAATTCAAGGACTGCACATTGCTTAAGTCGCATTGACCGACCATCTGCGCAGGGTTCCATACTTCACACTTTAACAACACAACTGTTCAATGATGAGGCTTCCCACCAAAATGGAGCTGTAGAGGAGAGTCTACTGAACAAGCCAGTACCTGCTACATACCAATACTTCCATCTGTTGAGGAGTTACAAAGGTGGAGGTATTTTTCATTCAACCCCCATATGTATATGCATATGTGTGCGTGTGTACATGTATGTGTGTGTGTGTGTGTATTCTGTATATACTCGAGTATAAGCCTGATTTTTAGCCCCCCTTTTAGGCTGAAAAAGCTCCCCTCTGCTTCTACTAGAGTCAAGGTTATTGATTATTTTACTCTGTTATTAGTATTATTATTAGTATATTAGTTTTATTTCATGTATTATTTTACTCTCTTTGTTATTATTACATTTACAGTATTTTACTCTATTTATGATTATTATTACATTTATTATTTTACTTTATTATTGCATTTATTATTTTACTCTATTATTACATTTATTATTGCATTTCCATTATTTTACTTTACTATTATTATTATTATTATTATTACATTTGTTATTTTACTCTATTATTGTTGGAAGGATATGTAAGTACATTTACATTGAAGAAGGTTAGAATAATGATTTAATCAGAGCTGGGAAGTCTTATCTCAAATTATAGTTTTATGTAAATATTCAAAAACATTTCACCTCCTGATGCCTCCAATTAATGTAATTTTATTGGTATCTATTTTTGTTTTGAAATTTACCAGTAGTGGCTGCATTTCCCACCCTCAGCTTATACTTGAGTCAATATGTTTTCCTAGTTTTTTGTGGTAAAATAAGGTGCCTCGGCTTATATTCGGGTCGGCTTATACTTGAGTATATATGGTATATTGTCCCTACTTTGCGGATTTTCACTTTTTGCGGGTGGTCCTGGAACGTAACACTGGCAACAATAAGTGAGGGAGCACTGAACTACCTCCTTGACTGTAGATGTCTACTTTGGCACAAAAGGGTCGGTCCCAAGTCGCACTGGCCCTGACTGTCTTTCTTTCCTTGGCTTCTCTCTCTTCCAGAGTTTGTGCAGATGATGACTGCAAAGTGAAGCCCGCAGAGTGGGTGGCTGGCAATGCCCGTTCTCCTTCAATACTTTTCTCCAACACACTCTCTCTACTTAAGTAACCTGGTTCTCTAAGCAAACAATCAGCTGTGGAATAAATCTGACCAAGTAATTAAAAACAAAACAAAAAAAATTACAAAAAACCCTTCCCAAGCTGCATGATTGCACTCATCTCTCCTTCCTCTCCTTTCTCCTTCCTTCCGTCCCTCCTTCCTTCCTTCTTTCCCGGTGCAACCCCTAACAGTCTGCCCCCAGGCCCCATAACCTTGTGGATGTCTTTGTTTCCATCGGGTCTCCTTCTGTTCTGCGGTCAGAGCTGGCCCGTCTCCCAGGGCGCAGATTTTTCTTTCTTTCAAAGAAATCCACATGACGGGGTGGAGAGAGCGCAACAAAACAAACAAAACATAATAATGATGATAATAATCACACACAAAAAATACCTTCTTACTCGTTTTGCATGTGTCTGGCGCTGTGGTCGTGTGTGCGTGGTCGCCACCGAAGGGTCTTGCCCCAGCGAACACCAAGGGGGTACAAAAAGGAAGAAATGGGAATGTTTTCTTTGTCTGGGTTATCTTTATTTTTATTTTTTTCTCTTAGTTTGCTTTCTAGAGGGGGGAGAAAGCCTTTTCCCCACCACCGTTTTGGCCGAAGGTGGGTTTTCCCAGGAAGCTCTATTTATGGAAAAGACGCGGATAGGAAGAGAGGGATTTCTTTCGGGAGGGCGGAACGCTTCCTCAACTGTCGGATTGGCTCTTTTACAAACAAACCCATAAACCTTTTGGACGTCCATCTCCTGTTCTTGAACCCCTGTACAAATTGTAAATGTCCTTCACTCTTTATTATTATTATTATTGATTTTTTTTTGGGTCCTAAGCATTGTGCCCAGACATCAGAGCTGCTATGTAAATATCTGATGCCGCAGGAGGGTGCTTTTGATTGGCAGCTGGAGGGGAGGGATTTTTAGGGAAAAGGGGCGCGCGTCTTTTCGGAAAAAGGAACCGCAATAAAAACGGTGAAGCCGCCGCTGAGTGGATGTGATGCCAACGGGGCCAGAGCGCCCGCCCGCCCGCCCTCCCCTTCCCCGTTCCTCTTTCCTCGTGCGACGTGTTTTCCCCTTCCCCAGTGGCTCTTGGTTTTAAGCGCTTGTGCCGCACCTTGGCTTCTCCTCCTCCTCCTCCTCTTCCTCCTCCTTCTCCTCCTTCTTCGGTGTCTTTGCTCTTCAGTGTCGCTTCCTTAACTTCGCCTGCTTCCCTTCCCCGGGCTTTTCCTTTTTGCGGCAGACAGCATGAGCCGCCGATGACTCCATGCTTTTTGTCTCTTTTTATTTACTAAACATCAAAATAACAACAACAATAACAAAAAAAATAAAAAAGGAGCTTTTTTTTCCGTGCGGAGGGGAAATCGAAACGAGCGGCGGGATATTTTTTTCCCCCCTGAAAAAAAACAAAAACAAACAAAACCGGGTGAAAGAAAGAGTGCTTTGCGCAGTCCCGTCGCGGCGGGGTTTTTTTTTTTGAGGCCGCGCTCCCGTGAGGTTTTCCGGCCTCTTGCCGTCTGTCTCCGCGAGCAAGCGAACGAGCGCCGAGGCGGAGGAAACGGAGGGATCTCGCACCTGAGAGCTTTGGGAAGGGGGCGTGGGGGGCGGCGCGGCGGGAGCGGGAGTGTCTTTGAGCGCAGGTGGTGTCGTGTTCAGTGGAAGCTGTGGAAATAAAAATTATATCAATGTTTTCCAATAAAATGCAGTGACTACCTGAGACGTCGGTTGTCGTGTCATTATTTGTGTGGAGGTCATCTTATGTTTTACCTCTCTGAAGGTATTCTCCCCTATGAACCATCAAGATTATTAAGAGTGTCTGGAGAGGCCCTGCTCTCGGTCCCACCGGCCTCGCAAGCGCGTCTGGTGGGGACGAGGGACAGGGCCTTCTCGGTGGTGGCCCCTCGACTCTGGAACTCTCTCCCACTGGAGATCAGAACCGCCCCTTCTATCCTGACATTTAGGAAACAGGTGAAGACTTGGTTATGGAGACAGGCATTCGATGAGTGAGCCAACACCCTGAGATATGGATGGAGGATGATGAGCAACAGTTTTAGTGTGACGACTGACCATTATAGTTATTGATTGTAATTGCTGTTTTGATGTTTTATTGATTGTATGTGATATTATGGTTGGAAACCGGTCTGAGTCCCTCAAGAGAGGTGAGAAGGTCGGTATACAAAACTTTTAAATAAATAAATATACACCAGGCATGGGCAAATTTTGGTCCTCCAGTTGTCTTGGACTTCCAACTCCCATCATTCCTAATAGCCTCAGACCCCTTCCTTTCCCCCCTCAGCTGCCTAAGCTCAACGGCCCAAGTTTGCATAGATCACCATTTCTCAACCTGGGGGTCGAGACCCGTGGAGGGGTCGCAAGGGGGTATCAGAGGGGTCGCCAAAGACCATCAGGAAACACAGTATTTTTCTGTTGCTCATGGGGGTTACATGTGGGAAGTTTGGCCCAATTCTATCGTTGGTGGAGTTCAGTTTGCTCTTTGATTGTAGGTGAACTATAAATCCCAGCAACCACAACTCCCAAATGTCAAGGTTTGATTGTAGGTGAACTATAAATCCCAGCAACTCCAACTCAATTGGTGGATTTAGAATGCTCTGTGACTGTAGGTGAACTATAAATCCCAGCAACTACACCTCAGTTGGTGGATTCAGAATGCTATTTGACTGTAGGTGAACTATAAATCCCAGCAACTGCAACTCCCAAATGTCAAGGTCTATTTTCCTCAGTGATGATGCTGTCAAGGTGATGCATGCCACATGCCAGCAAAAATGGAAAACACAAGAATGGCCATCAGACTGGGGAAAAAAATCTACGAGGGGTATTTTTTAAGTAAGGTCCGTTGGAACATAAGTACACAACGAAAGTTTATTTCAAAAAAGTAAATTTATTTTCAGAAAGTACATACTTCACTCTATTTTTTGACATAGTTGCCAAGTTTGTTCAAACACTTATCATACCTCTGAACCAATTTTAAAATACCCTCTTCATAAAAACTTGCCGCCTGCTCCGATAACCAAGAGTTCACTGCCGTTTTCATCATGGACGTTGTCACGGCCATCTTTGAATTGTCGTACCCACTTACGCACTTTGCTTTCACTCATAACAGTATCACCGTACACTTCACAAATCTGTCGATGAATTTTTGCAGCAGGCAGGTTCCTTGCTGACAAAAACCGTATCACTGAGCGAACCTCACATGCGGAGGGTGAGTTGATAGCCTTAAACATTTTTAAAGCACAGAACAGAACCGTACAGGTGAGCTACAGAGCGGAAACTCAGCACAGTTGTTCCCGAGGCATGCCGGTACACGACGCACGCTCTCGTTGCGATACGCGCGCGAACTACTAGTGTCTACAACAAAACGGACCTTACTTTAAAAATACCCCTCATACTTACATCCCCAAGATCATCCGGGGAGGCTCTGCTCTCGCTTCCACCAAGATCACAAAAGCAGCTGGTGAGGATGAGGGGCAGGGCCTTCTCGGTGGTGGCCCCCCACCTGTGGAACGTGCTTCAAAATGAGATACGATTGACCCCATCCCTCCTGGCTTTCAGGAAGAAAGTAAAATCGTGGTTGTGGGACCAGGCTTTTGGTCAGCAGACATAAAGCAGCACTTTGGTTGAAATTAACTGGAAAGACTATTTACGTGAGGATATGGTTTTATTGGTAATTAAGGTTTTATACTGTTTAATTAATGGCTTTGTATTTTATGTATTTTACTGGTTTGATGGGAGCCCGCAGTGGGTTAAACCCCTGTGCCGGCAGGACTGAAGACCGACAGGTCGCAGGTTCGAATCCGGGGAGAGGCGGATGAGCTGCCACTATCAGCTCCAGCTCCTCATGCGGGGACATGAGAGAAGCCTCCCACAAGGATGATATAAACATCAAATCATCCGGGCGTGCCCTGGGCAACATCCTTGCAGACGGCCAATTCTCTCACAACAGGAGTCACTCCTGACACGACAAGAAAAAACTAGTTTGATGGTTATGTTTAATGGTTATTGTATTAATTGTTCATGTAACGGCATCAAATTGCTGCCTGTGTAAGCCGCCCTGAGTCCCCCTTTCGGGGTAGAGAAGAGACGGGATATAAATACCAGAAATAATAATAATACCAGAAAAGGGAAATGTTAAAGAATGCTCAAACTTTTGTACAGTGGCCCTTATTTCTCATGCCAGTAAGGTAGTGCTCAAGATCCTGCAAGGAAGACTCCAGCAAGACATGGAGTGAGAGTTTCCAGACGTTCAAACTGGGTTTAGAAAAGGCAGAGGAACCAGAGACCAGATTGCCAATATCCGGATGCTGGAGAATGGAGAAAAGCAGGGAGTTTCAGAAAAAAATCTATTTCTGTTTTATTGACTATTCCAAAGCCTTTGACTCTGTGGAGCATAATAAATTGTGGCAAGCTCTTGGTGGGATGGGCATACCAAATCACCTTCCCTCTCTCCTGAGGAATCTGTATAAGGACCAAGTAGCAACAGTCAGAACTGACCATGGAACAACAGACTGGTTCAAGATTGGGAAAGGTGTCCGGCAGGGTTGTATACTCTCACCCAACCTATTCAACTTGTATGCAGAACACATCATGCGATGTGCGGGGCTTGACGAATGCAAGGCTGGGGTAAAATTGCTGGAAGAAACATTAACAACCTTAGATATGCAGATGATACCACTTTGATGGCCGAAAGCGAGGAGGAGCTGAGGAGCCTTCTAATCAAGGTGAAAGAAGAAAGCGCAAAAGCTGGGTTGCAGCTAAACATTAAAAAAAACCAAGATTATGGCAACAAGAATGATTGACAACTGGGAAATAGAGGGAGAAAATGTGGAGGCCGTGACAGACTTTGTATTTCTAGGTGCAAAGATGACTGCAGATGCAGACTGTGGCCAGGAAATCAGAAGACGCTTACTTCTTGGGAGGAGAGCAATGTCCAATCTTGATAAAATAGTGAAGAGTAGAGACATCAGACTGGCAACAAAGATCCATTGCCTAGTCAAAGCCATGGTATTCCCTGTAGTCTTTTCAACTGACCACCTTGATTAGCATACAATGGGCTGACTGTGCCTGGAGCAAACTCTTCTTGAAAGGTGATTAGAATGTCCCTGCCTGTTTTTCTCTCTGCTGTTTTAATTTTAGAATTTTTTAATACTGGTAGCCAGATTTTGTTCATTTTCATGGTCTCTTCCTTTCTGTTGAAATTGTCCACATGCTTGTGGATTTCAATGGCTTCTCTGTGTAGTCTGACATGGGGGTTGTGAGAGTGGTCCAGCATTTCTGTGTTCTCAAATAATATCTGTGTCCAGGTTGGTTCATCAGGTGTTCTGTGATGGCTGACTTCTCAGGTTGGGTCTGCAGTACCTTTCCTGTTCCTTGATCCGTGTCCGGGCAATGCTGCTGCGTTTGGTCCCTCTGTAGACTTGTCCACAGCTGCATGGTATCCAGTAGACTCCTGCAGAGGAGAGAAGATCCCTCTTGTCTTTGCTGAACGTAGCATTTGTTGGATTTTCTTGGTGGGTTTGTAGATTGTTTGTATGTTGTGTTTCCTCATCAGCTTCCCTATGCGATCAGTGGTTCCCTTGATGTATGGCAGGAACACTTTTCCTCTGGGTGGATCTTCATCTTTACTCTTGTGGCTTGGAGAGCTGCAGTACCCAAAAATGGGCAGCAGAGGGAGCCAGCCACCATGGGAAATTGCCATTGGAAGGGCTAGCTTAGCTACTGAGATTCTCCCCATTCAACTGGGCAAGCCTTGGCACCTTTTTAATAAATGACTTTCTTGCAGTGTCCCTCTCTCAATATATTATTAAAAGTTTGGCACATTGACATTCCACCTTGGAATTGATGGGAACCAGGCGTTGCTATTTATACCCCGGTGCCAGGTTTGATGCCTTGTTTGGCTCTTTTTCCATCGCACCAGCCTTTGCCTTACTCAGATGGCATCCAAAGAAAGGCATATGGCCCTTTGGGTCCTCAGTTTCCCCTTTGAGCCATACAGAGCATTTCCAAGACCTCAGTTCCCTGGAATAAAAGCACAAAGAGTGGACCAATGTGCAAAATAATAATAATAATAATAATATTGTTGACCGGCGCTATTTGCCTAGAAAGTCTGGTGGCAGAGGACTTGTAGGTCAGGGCAGAGTAGTTGTAGGTCAGGGCAGACAAGTAAAACAAGCAGTCGAAGAAGAAAAACGCCCTGGCAGAATATGTCAAGGAAAGCCAAGAACCTGCTCTAATTGAAGTCAATAATCGGAAACTTCTCAAAGCACAGCAGACAAAGAGTCAGTACAAGAAAACTGCACTCCAAACCAGAGCTGACAGCTGGCACAACAAAGCATTGCATGGGCAGTTCCTTGACAAAATTGAAGGAAAAGTTGACAAGGAGAAGACCTGGTGATGGTTCATGAATGGAACCCTGAAGAAGGAGGCAGAAGGTCTGATTCTTGCAGCCCAGGAGCAAGCCATCAGAACCAATGCAATTAAGGCCAGGATCGAAAAATCAGCGGATGACCCAAAATGCAGACTGTGCAAGGAAGCTGATGAAACCATGGACCATCTCCTCAGCTGTTGCAAGAAAAATCAAGGAAGGAAAGAAAAGGAAACAAGGAAGGGAGGAAGGAAATAAGGAAGGAATCAAGGAAGGAAAGAAAAGGAAACAAGGAAGGGAGGAAGGAAATAAGGAAGGAATCGAGGAAGGAAAGAAAA